AAAAAAAAAAAAAAAGGACAAATAGAAAATATAAAAAAATCAAAACAGGAAAAACAGAAACGAAAAAGATTTTGAGAAACAGCACACATCAACTGAACGAAGTCACCATGGAGCTTTCTCCTCCCTCAATTCAGGATGACGTCAATACAAAACCTTCGAAAACCACTGTCAACCACACTGCTTCAAGACAGCCGTGGAGAAAAGTCAAAGTCAACGTTCGGCATCCAATCAAAATCCCGCAAGCAACAAACAAAAAAAAAAAAAACAAAAAAAAAACTATCCGGGCGATATCCATGACCCACCAAACACTGACAAAGCCCGCCTCTTCTCTCCCGCCTGGTTCCTCGATGGCTGGAACGTGTCCTCTCACGGTGTTTTCCAATCATTACGACATTCCACAAAAAGAATAGAGGTTGTCCCAAAAAAAAAAAAAAAAAAAAAAAAAAGGTCATAAGCTTTTCTGTGATCAGCTCAGCGCCAGCTGCGGCCCAATTCTGGTTGCCGTCAGCACAAAAACACCCCGATCACTGTCTCGTCAAACCATAATCCTTTCCTTGTACACCTGCAAATTTCCACAAAAACAACGCAGGCAGTCGGGGGGGAAAAAAAAAAAAACAGGTAACACAATTTCTGTGATCATCTCAGCCCCAGCTGCGGCCCAATTCTGGATTCTGGTTCTCGTCGGCACAAAAACACCCCGATCACTGTCTCGTCAAACCATAATCCTCTCCTTGTACACCTGCAAATTTCCACACAAACAACGCAGGCAGTCAAAAAAAAAAAAAAAAAAACAGGTACAACAATGTCATTCCCAGCCTTTTCTGTGTGACCAGCTCAGCCCCAGCTTCGCCCCAATTCTGATTGCCGGCAGCAGAAAACCCCGATCACTGTTCTCAAACCATACTAAAAAAAAAAAAAAAAAAGAAAGAAAACAAAACAAAACAAAACAAACAGGTACGACAGCCTTTTCTGTGTGACCAGCTCAGCCCCAGCTTCGCCCCAATTCTGGTTGCCGTCAGCACAAAAACCCCGATCACTGTTCTCAAACCATATAATCCTCCTCTCCTTGTACACCTACACACTGCCTTCGAGTCCAGATGAACGGAATATTATTCCCGAATGAACGGAATTCCTGAAATACAGACAACCGTTGAAATGCACAGTCCGAATCCAGATGCACGGATTTTTTATTTTTATTTTTAGATGAACGGATTTCCTGAAATGCCTGGGGCAGGAAAAAAAAAAAAAAAAAAAAAAAAAAAAAAAAGCCTGGGACCGGTCTGTTTCTCGATGATATCTGAAGGCCGTCGCCCAAACTCAAGTCAACGCTCTGCCTCCTCTCCCCTCCCGCCGCAAATCCTATCTCCTGCACTCACATCGGCCTCGCAGATACTCTCTTTTTTTTTCCCTTTTTTTTTTCTTTTTTTTCAGCCTCGTAAATTCTGGACACGCGAAGTAGTCAGAGCATTAAACAAGCTCCGTTGACCAGCGGACGGTCAAACAAGCCTATCTTTACTCAGATTAAAGTCAAACCGGCCTCCACCACCGATCTTTACGCCCTACCGGTCTTACCTCCACCCCCTAATAGACCGTACGGTCATTATAGTCCGAACCTGGCTCAACGTCCCGTCCAGATGCAGCGACAGAGACCGCGTCCTATTAGATCGGACAGTCATTATAGACCAAACCTGGCTCACCTGGACAGTCATTATAGACCAAACCTGGCTCACCTTGCCGTCCGGATGCAACGACAGTGACCGAACGTCCTACTAGATCGTATGGTCATTATAGCCCGAACCTGGCTCACCTTGCCGTCCAGATGCGGCGACAGTGACCGCCAGTATTATTTGGGGACACCCGTACCTGGCTCGCCTTCCAGTCCACATGCAGCTACAGTGACCGCACCATCCAAATTTGTTGACGTCAGACGGGTAATGCGCAAAATTCCTGGCTTCGACGATTCCCCCAGCCTTCGCCAAAATGCGTCAGGGCAACTTCTACGTTCAATGCTATGCTACAGTCACAGAGAGAGAGAGAGAGAGAGAGAGAGAGAGAGAGAGAGAGAGAGAGAGAGAGAGGGCTTGCTTGCTTGAAGTTGCATCAACTGCGAACGTTTGCCGAGACCTGTAGGCTGGCCCAAACGAGAGAGAGAGAGAGAGAGAGAGAGAGGGACACGCGTCTCTTCCCTCGGAAGATTACGACGATGACGTCAACACCTATTTCTTACCCTCCTGTCCTCTCTGGCAAATTTCCCCCACACCACACGATGATGGCGTCGTCAATGAAGTTCTTCTTCTTCGTGTCTGTGTCGTCAACAATATATCCGATTTGGGATAAGCTTGACAGATCAGCACGTAGCCTATCTCCATCCGTTTGCTCAGCGTCGAGGCAGGCTCCGATTAGATTGACCTACCGATCCCGACTCCGGAATCGCGGCACAGGTGTAGCACGATCCCGCTCGACAGACAGCAGTCGGGAAGTAGGGATCCCATCCCATCTCCTCCCCCTCCCTTCCCTCCGCGTTATGACGTCAACACCTATTTTTTTCTTACCCTCCTATTCCTCCTCTCCGGCAAATTTCGCCTACACGAAGAGACGATACAACGATGACGTCATCAATAAAGTTCTTCCTCTTTATGTGTCGTCAACACTATATCCGATTTGGGATAAGCTTGGCAGATAAGAACGAAGCCTTTCTCGATTTGCTCGTCGTCGAGGAAGCTCTGATTAGATTGGTCTACCGATCCCGACTCCAGAACCGCGGCACAGGTGGAGCACGATCCCGCTCGACAGGAGTAAGGAAGATCCAGTCCCATCTCCTCAGCCTTGTCCAAAATGAATTCGTCTTCTTCGACTTCGATGGTGGTAGTCTCTCCGTCCGGTATCTTGAAGGTGACCTGGTAACACGTGGCACCACCAGACACGTCAGCGGCACGCAGTCCAAACGACTTCCACGTGCAGACCCTGCCAAGTCCCAATCCCGACGACCCCACCGATCCGTACATCCGACGTCGCGCAAGAACAGGACACCGCCAGTTCTTCGACTCAGTCGTCGGCGGGAAACAAGAAGACATCGTGGAGAGCGAGGAGGCGCGGGCGAGACAAAAACGCGGGAAAAGGGTGGGCGAGGAGGCGCGGGAAAGAGAAAAAGGCGGGAAACGGGTGCCGCCGACCGAGGGGGAGGGTGGTGATACCGACGTCCGCGCCGTGGACAAACTTTTGCCCAGACACTTCTCTGGGGTATTGAACTCTTGACCTCTTGCTCCAGCCGCATTACCGACACACCAAGAAGGCACTGCTGCCATAGCCTCCATAACCTCCATAGCCGCCTGGGCCGCCAGAGCCGTCGGGCTCACAATAACGAAGACAGCTGCGTTGATGCCACGTGTCTGTCAATGTGAGAAGGAGAGCCACGTGAGTACCAATTTACCCACAAACAGCACTCCCGCGCACGGCACAACCGGTGCAACAAAGCCCGCACAGAAACCAATCAACCAATCAGCCAATCAAGGAGCTACCTAGCCTGATTAGTCCAACAACCAATCAATCAGTCATGAACCACTCAATTCCACAGACCATCTGCATCGAGTACAGCGCGCGCGTGTGAGCCGCCGGAGCCACGTGTGTCCCGATGTATCCTCTTATCAGACACCGCTGCAGCGCGCGGCACGGTCAGCGCAGGCGCACGACACGGTCAACGCTTGCGCACGGCGCGGTCAGCGCAACACACGTCCTCTCTGTCAATCAACCAATCAGCCAATCAACCAATCAGCCTATCAGCCAATCAACAGATCGAGCGCCGCAAATGGCAATACGCTCACACCCCGTTATCAACAAGTTGACGAAACTTCGCCGAACTCTCATCTCCGTTTCACTTGTACTTGCTGAGTAGCGTCCCTCCAAAGAAGGGTTCCCAACTCCGTCTCGCTGGTACTTCCTAAGTAGCGTCCGTCCTAAGGGCATACGCACACCACGACTTATTTACGTATTTTTGGACGGAATTTCGGCCAAATACATGCAGGTATGGCCCTGAATGCGGTCAGATACATTTGAGATACAGCTGCAGCTAGTGTGAGTACACCCTAAGAAGTTCAACACCGCGAAGGCACCGACATCCACTGCCCTGCACGTCCCACCTCCGCACACGCCGCTGCTTTAATGCGCAGCCCCGCGCTACTCGCGCCCCGCTTCCAACGCTCTCTAGAACTTCACTCGCACCCGGCTTCCAACGCTCTCTAGAACTTTACTGGCGCCCGGCTCCCAACACTCCATAACTTCAGTCGCGCCCCGCTTCCAACGCTCTCTAGAACTTTACTAGCGCCCGGCTCCCAGCACTCTCTAGAACTTCACTCACGCCCGGCTTCCGACACTCTCTAGAACTTTACTCGCGCCTGGCGCCCGACACTCTCCAGAACTATACTCGCGCCTGGCTTCCAACACTCTAGAACTTTACTCGCGCCCGGCTTCCAACACTCTCTAGAACTTCACCTGCGCCCGGCTACCAACGCTGTGGAACTTGCACGTTTCTTCACTACCGGTAAGGGCATACTCCCACTAGGTAGGGCTTTCCAGAATGTATGTGACCGCTTTTCTGGGATCACGAGGATGCACTCTCTAGAACTTCACAGAGAAGTGAAAAAAGTCCTCGTGTGGGTATGCTCTAATTCAACGTTACTGGCGCCCAGCAGCTTCCAGAATGCTACCCGGGCCGAGGTCCCTCTAGCAATAGCAAAAAGAATAGGATCGAGCTCCTGAATCTGGATGTGTTTTACGTAGAGATGCAGAAAAGCAGTTCCATCTCGATTTCCTGCACGTCTCCATAAACTCGACCAGATTCAGGCATTCGATCCGATCCTGTTTGCTAGTGGGACCACGCCCCTGGAGAACTTTCTGTTCAGCATGTGCGTGCAGAACTTCCATTGGGGGGCGGAAGAAACAGTGGGCAAAGAAGACCTCACGATTGATGAACTGACTGACATACCGCGAGGACGCGGGCTCGCAGCCCGTAGGGTCGACCGGAAAACAGCACAAGACCCGTAGGGTCGACCCGGAGCTAGGTCCCACGTAGACAGCAAAGATCAACGGCCGAAATCTCCTAATTTGCACAAGTGGGACCTTGCCCCCGAAAAGAGCACAAGACCAGGACGATGTGAGGGAGGGACGCGCAACGGGCGCTGAGCGCTCCGCAGCAGCGTTACCGGCTCAGGAGGGCCGGTCTCATCGGTCACCACCCCAGCACGAGGCCGGGCGAAGTGAACATCGCCCACCCCCTTACCGGAGGCCATAGCCCGGTCAACCCTGCATCGCAACGAAGCAGGGGAGGCATGGACAAGAGCGATGTGGAGACGAGCGATGAGCCAGTTGAAGCAGCTAACAGCAACTCGTACATACTATGAGGAACGGGACAGGCGCCTGCGCCCTGTACCTGAGGAGCTCAGAGTGGCCTAGTATCAACCTAGTGACGTGGCATCAACCCACAGCAGAATCCTGCCGAAGGTTCACTGCCGGGAAGTTTCACAACACAAGCCATAGCCCTGGAGGGCCCTGTGTCAGTATTACACTTCGCATCCCACCTCCTTAGTTGCACCCCCCCCAACAACCATATTTTTCTACAGAAGCATATTCATTCTGCTCCCGCATCTCTCATTCTGCCCTTTGACCGACATCACAACCGCAATCTGACCAACATCACCTTGACCTATACCACTTCCACCCTGCTCTCAGCGGGATTCTACTCCCTCTCTTCCTTCTCTCCCACCCACTCCAACCCTATCTACCTAACTCTACCCTGTCATCTCCCCCTACTCGCCAAGTCCTCCTCTCCGACACCGACCCTCTTCTTCCACCTCCTTTGACCGAGCCCAGTGCCTCTCCCCCCTTGCACTCCCACTCCAAACTACGACCCATCACCGCTTGTCCCAACAGTCAAACCACCCCCCGCCCTCTTCCTTTGCTCTCATGCCCGCCACCACCCTAACCTAGTCCGATCGCACTCCTCCCTACACACCACTCCCCTTCGTACAAAGCAACCCCCCCCACTCGTTGACCCTTTTTTTTTTTGCCGTCGATTCCCAGGACCCGACCCCGTTTTTCTCCCATAACTATTGTAGCCTCCCCCACCTCTGCCTCTTCACCCTCCCCCGAATCTCTTCCTATCCCACCCCTCATCATCCAACCCGCTAACGACCTTTCACCCCCCACCCTTCCCACCACCCAGCTTTACCCGCAGAACAACCCATGCCTACATACCCTAATTAACTGCCATTTCGTCAAAATTGACATTTCTTATTGTTTGAACGAAATTGAAACTGAGTTTTTTCAACTTTTTTGGCCGAAAACATAGTCTAAATTTGCTGCTCTTGAGGGTCCGGCGTTTTTAAAACGCTGGACCCCCTGTATGTATTTGGACCTCCTGTATGAACGAAATTGAAACTGAGTTTTTTCAACTTTTTTGGCCGAAAACATAGTCTAAATTTGCTGCTCTTGAGGGTCCGGCGTTTTTAAAACGCTGGACCCCCTGTATGTATTTGGACCTCCTGTATGTATCTAGACCTAGCTTGAGACCAGATACATCCAGGCGGTCCCCCATGGATGTATCTGGTCTCAAGCTAGGTCCAGATACATACAGGAGGTCTAGATACATACAGGGGTCTAGCGTTTTAAAAAAACGCCGGATCCTCAAGAGCAGAAAATTTAGACTGAGTTTTTAGCCTAAAAAGTTGAAAAAACTCATTTCAATTTTGTTCAAAAAATAAAAAATGTCCATTTTGACGAAATGGTAGTTAATTCCCCCAACCCACCCATGCTACCCTACCCCACACCGACGCCGTCTGCACTCGATACATGCGAAAACACCGGTCTGAAATCCCCCCAACCCCTATTCGTGCGACCTCGTTCCCCATACCCATCCCCCCCAACCCACCAAACCCTTCCCAGGCACCGCCTCCGATTGCAAATTTCCCCATGTCATTTTTTCCCAACAAGTTGACCCATCTCATTTCCCCCTGACCTATCCCGCCGCTATACCCCTTCACACCCTCATCTCAACCCAGATCCCGACAAATCAAGCTTTCTTTCACTAAAGCCAGATCTACCTGAATCCTCCCCTCATACTAAATCGCCTTCTCTACACTGCTCCCTCCCCCCTCTAACCTACCCCTCGCACTCTTTATCACCCCACCACCCACCTTCGAGCCCTCTGGTGTTCTCTTTCCTCCGTTTGCTGCTGTCTGCTGCCCCTCGTCCGTAGCAATCTGCTTGCGTGGAGGAAGCCTCCCACTGCAATCGGTCTCAGGATTCAAAGAAAAGTGGTGTATAGCCCCTTCCCAATCCCCGGACTGCTTAGTGTACCTTAATTTACGTTGTCTCCCACTTCTGTGGGGCAGACCTGCCCGCTTAACCTCACATCATGAATCGGCCTTCGTCCTCTGCCAATCACAGCGGTCAGGCCCAGCCAGGCCCCTCAGTCCCATGCTGCTTGGGACGACCACTCACGCATTCAAAGCCTCTTAGATAGTTGCTTTGACGATGGTCTCTTCCCCGACACACCTTTCAATCATGGGGAAGTCGAAATCGTTGATGGAATAGGCTACCTCAACCTAAGCACAGAGGTCGACGATGCCACAGTGGCAAGGCTAAAGGAATGCACAGTGATCGTGATTTTTGACTCGAGAGCAGCCAGCTTTTTCGTGGCCCAATGCGAACAATTCATTCACATATATGAAGACGCATGGTTTCACGACCTCAGCGTCAATCCATCACAGAAGAGGGGTCACACACATGGTGAGGGCCCCGATGTTATGTCCTATGTCGCCCGCACGCGGCAGATCGCCCAAATGATGATCAACAAAAGAGAGGATGTGATCCCATCATGCGATGGCCCAATCAGAATCCCCTTCCGTCCGTGGATGAAACAACACAAGCTGGATCAGCTACGTGTCGCCGAATCTGCGGCTAAATCCAGAATCATTGCGCTTTGAGTCCCCCTCGAAGCCATGTTCTCCTTGCGTAATGCAGTCCAATGCCTGATGGGGCCAATCATACACATGCACCTCCCGGACAAACATGAAGATGAGCCGAGACTGGGCAATGTAAAGATCGATTGTGATCCCACAGTTAGGGAGACCTTCATGGAATGGATTGCCATGAGAAGGCCAACAGGTCAGATCATGAAAATCTAGTTCGCCAACTAGAACACTCCTTTCAGTCCGAAGTGTCTCTGGTGGTACCATGACGAATTTGACCCAGACTGCCCGCACTTCACTGAACCAATGCCGCCGGGTCAACGAATGCGAGGCAGAGGTCGGGGAAGGCATCAGGCGGAGGATCGAGGTGTTGCGGCCCAGACCCGTCAGAGCGCCGCTAATCAAGCAGCAGTACATCCCAGCCAACCCCCACTGCAGCACCGTCCCTTTGCTATTAGAGAGCGGCAACCCCCTCCCGCACACACATCACCCTCTTCCTCTCAACCACGGCCTCCCCTTCATCCCCAACTCCCCCCTCCCCCCCCTGTGTCGCATGCACCAGCCCATCTCAGACCAGTGAGTTCTTGGTCTGTCCCACCACAAACAAGTGGTTCACTAGTTCCATACCACCCCCCCCACACACGAAGCCTCTCTTTTCCTTCTTCTCAAAACACCATCCGACTGAACGGGTCCTCCTTTCCAACACGACTGGTTCTATCTCATGCACCAGCCCTGCCATATCCTCCACAACCCCCACCCCCCATGCTCAACCAAGGGTCTACCTTTCTCAGATCCCCTCCCTTGATCTCCCTTTCCCGCCCTCCCCTTCCCCCATCACTGCAGCTAGGAGCTCCCCTGCACACAACCATGTCCCACTCCACTCACCCACAACACCCTCTTCCCGCCCCGACCACATATCAACCAACAACAAATGCACTCCTTTTAGCAGCCCCA